CCTCTCCTCCAGCCCCCAGAATATACCGTATGTTTTTGCCATTGACTTCAATGGTTCATAGGATATAATAGGGCCGAACTGTGGGAAGCAGAATCAGATCAGATAATCTGTTTCAGCCCGTAGCAGCAGTCGGCGTGCTCGCAGGGATGGCCCTAGGGGGTTGCGCGCCCTAGGCGAGGCCACCTTGTGGCCCCCCCCCTCAGATGCCAACCTCCCGGTGGGGCCTGGAGACCTCCCAGCTGGCCGTGGGGGGGGGACAGACACCACATGCTGGGGAGCGCCTGGCCCACAGGAGGAGGAGGAAGGAGGGGCCGGCAGACAGGCAGGCAGGAGCTCGCGCTTCCTTCTCCCTCCCCCCCCCCGCAGGCGCCTGGTCGGGGAATGCAACGAAACCGCCCCCACCGCAGCGAGAGATGAGGGGAAGGGAAGGGAGGGGAGGGGGGGGAAGAATGGATCCCAGGTGCTTTTGCCTGTCAGAGTGGCTGGGGCACACTTCCGGGGGTGTCAGGGGGGGTGGCATATGCTAATAAGTTATGCTAATGAGCTCCTGCAGCTCTTTTTCTATTAAATGACCCCTGCACATATTCATTTCTCAGACAGACAAACAAGGGCTTTTAGCACCTAGTTGATTAATTTCAACAAGAACAGCTATAAGATAATTGACTTAGAGTAAGGGGAAAGAGACTTGCAGGCACGGAGAAGAACAGAGTTGCCAGGTGTCCAGTTTTGAACCAGCCAGTCCAGTATTTGATGGGGGGAAATTGACATATAAATGTCTGGTATTCTGTAATTAAGAGTTTCACAAAATAAACAGTTCCAAAGGAATGGGGGGGGGGGGGCTCAAGGTTAGAACAAAAAGCAAGTGAGAAGATAAAGAAACATTAAAAAAAAAAGAAAGAAATCAGACCTTAGGGCTTGGCTGTATGGAGAAGCAGACTGTAGCTGGTTCTAGTATTTTCATCATTCCCCTCCTGAGAGGAGGAGAAAATGAACATTCCCTTCCTCAAGCAACAGAGTGGTTCTCCCCTCACCCTAAGATGAACAGGTTTAGTTTTATTATACATGTGTCCAGAAGGACTAGTTTTCTGGCCCTCCCCTGTGTTGCAAGGTGGAGAGTTAATCTTTGTTTATTTGCATTGTGGGTTTTTTTCTTTCCTCTTCTCACTTGGAAAGTTGCTTTGCCTGCCCCGCCCCCAGCTGGCTGCCTCTTTTTTTATTTTATTTTTTATTGTTATTTTTTTTTCCTCAAAACAATGCCATACAGTTGCCATCAAAAGATATACATAAACATAGAGGTATATTTCAATAACACATAAAAACTAGGTTAGAGTCAGTGTAACATTTTGACAGATAGATCTGCCAAAGGTAGTCTTCAAAACTAGAGGAGTAAGGATTACAGATAATATCTTTTCCCATTAGGTTTTTATAATAATGTTTCACATCAGTAACCATTTATGATAATGCAGATTTGCAGGAAGTTGCCTCTTCTAAGCTCCCATCTGGGAAAAAGCAGACAGCCTCTCACTCCCTGTCAAGGCAGCTGCAAAAAAGAGTGTCCAAGGCAGTACAGTCCAAGGCAGTGCTGGGACAGGGCATAAGGAAGAAATTAAATTCCCATCCTGCCCTATAACCATCGGCCCAATTGTGGTGACATTCCTTGCTGACCGTATAGTTGGAGAGGAGTTGTCGCTGTTCCAAAGTCAGTGCAGCAGTTCCCAACAATCACTTCAGAGGGCATTTTTGCCCCTGAGAATTGGGTTTTACCCCTTGCCTTCCTCCCTCCCTCCCTCCCTCAGTAATCAGCAGCAGCTTTTCCCTTGAAGCCACCGCCACCCTGATTGCAGAGGCCATGAGGGAGGGATGGAGGGGAGGTTGCTTTGGTGTATGTGTCTTAATAGTATAGATATTTGTTTACTTCATTCATACATCAGTTTTCTGTTAATGAGGTCTCAAAGTGGCTAACATTCTCCTTTAATCCTTTGAATCCTCACAATAACCCTATGAAGTAAGTTAAAATCACTGCGTTTGGTGAAAATAGCAGAAGGGGGGGGCATCCTTGCCTTTTTTGCTCAGGGACTAAACTGCCCCATCTAGTGGGGGAATCTGCCTGCCAGAGATGGTGTAGTGTGAACTGCACACAACAGTGGTGACACTTCAGGGCTTGCCTTTTTCTCTGCTTCCTGCTTGGTGGGCCACCTTGCCAAGCCACCTGGTCCCTGCATGGTTGACAAATTTTTATCACGTGTGTCCAGTATTTGTGTTGAATTGAAACCATCTGGCAACCGTAGAGAGGAAGAGGGCTATGGACATCCTTCAAAGGTACATATCACAATATATCACAGGGATTGGCATAGTTGGGCACCTGCCCAAGTCTCTAACCCAGCAGTGGGCCTACCCCTGAGTGGAACTGCTGACTCAGACCTTTCCTTTTCTAATGGCAGGAGTGCCAGGAGTGCAGGAGTATTATTACTGCTGCTTCTGGGCATTTCTTCCAGGAGGCCAAGAGGCCCCTACAGCATTGCAGTAATTGTTTCCTGTACTTTTTGGACCCCAGCCACCATTGCTGGTGAAGCTACAAGGAAAGGCATTCACTGGTCCTAGCAGCATCACTGCAAGTGGGAAAGGGAGACAAGATTGGGATGGAAGGAGGCCACACCCCTAAGGGAAAGGAAAGAGAACAAAGCCAAAGGGGGGAGGAGCAGAGGTCATTTCGGGGGGGATCGGGGGGGATCGTAGTTCCCCCAGGTGAGGTACGGGGTCGGGGCACATGGCGAAGCACCGCCCCCTTCTTCCGGCCACCCCGCTTCCGGCCCTCATTCAGCCAGGAGGAGGCAGGAGAAGAGGGAGGGTAAGTTGCTTCCTCCCTGCCTCTCCCGACCCCTGCCTGCCTGGGGCCAGGGAGGGCCTTCACGGGGCTTCCTTGCACTCCCACCGGCCTTGCAGGTCCACCGCCGGGCCCCTCATGGGGCTTGGCAGTGGAGCTGCAAGGCCGGCGGCGGCCGGGACCGTTGGGGGCGGGGTGTGTGGCCTTATGACACACTTCCGGTGATGTCAGGGGGTGTGGCATATGCTAATGAGTTATGCTAATGAGTTCCCCTAGCTCTTTTTCTACGAAACAACCCCTGGGGGGGAGAGACTTGTAAGGAGCCCATGGATGCCCTGTGCCCAGGTGCCAGTGGAGAAAGAAACATGTAACTGGACTTTGCTATATTTTTCCCTTTTATTATTATATAGATCAGAAGTATACATTAAATACAACAGATATACATGCTAAAGGAACTACACAGATTTGACCATCTACATCCTAATGAACATAAAGCAGTCAAGCACATATCATGTAAAACTATTTAAAACAATGTAATAAACCACTCTCATCCAGCAACTTTTACCAACAGTCAAACAAAAAGAGAGATAAGAAAAAAAGAGTATCTACATGCTGAACATGGGTGGCATTTTGCAATCCTAATATCTCTTCTCCTGAGGGAGATTTTTGTGGTTCCTTAACCTTCCACCTATTAGTCCCCTAACAATTTGTAAACCAATTCCCAAGCAATTTCAGTTTTTTATATTAAGGGGAAAGTAGGTATACAATGTTAATTTCCTTTTTATCTTGGTATTCCCTACTGTGCACTTATCTCAGTGTGGAGTAGAACCAGGGGTCATTTCGTAGAAAAAGAGCTAGGGGGACTCATTAGCATAACTCATTAGCGTATGCCACACCCCCTGACATCACCGGAAGTGTGTCCTCCCCACAGCCGGCGGCGACCTCCAGCGGGCACCAGCAGGGAGCTCCAGGCCCCGCCCTCCCGCACCTCACCCGGGGGGATGGAGTAGAACCATAGCAGATCAGACTCTAAACTGGACTATTTACAAACCACAAGATATGAAAGAAAGGAATGCTTCAGTATCTGGTTTAACTATTGCAAAAGTAAGTAATGTGTTTACTAGATACCAACTACATTTCCACTGTCCTCAATAACTGTATACTATGGACATCCCAAGTCAGACTTTCCAATTCCTTGGCTGTATTTACTCAAAGGACGCAATCCCTTGAAATTCTAAGGTGAACTACCCAGAATCTCTCAGTCATTGCATAGGAGAAAAGGGCCATGGTGGCACTATTGGCTATGCTACAAAGTTGAGCAAACTTCAGAGGATGGTGGAAGACCGGAAGGCCTGGCGTGATCTGGTCCATGGGGTCGCGAAGAGTCGGACTCAACTGTGCGACTGAACAACAACAACAAAAACAATGTCCACATGAGCAAAAGTGTTATGATTAATGTTCGGAGGTTTGTCTTATAGTATATCCAGCCTCCATTTTTCCCCAGACACCTGAATCCCTGGTGTGACACTAAACGGGGAGAAATTCCCACAAAAAAACATGCCATTAAAATTGTGTCTATGTAGTGTTGCCCGCTCTGGGTTGGGAAATACCTGGAGATTTTGGGGGTGAAGCCTGAGGAGGGCAGAGTTTGGGGAAAGGGGATCTTCAGTGGGGTATAATGCCATAGAGTCCACCTTCCAAAGTGGCCGTTTTCTCCAGGTGAAAATGGTCTCTCACCTGGAGATCAGTTGTAGACCCAGGAGATCTCCAGGAACCACCTGGAGGCTGGCCACCCTATGTCTGTGCCAACTGTTTCTGCTACTAGAAGGGGAAGGAAAAGTAAAGGCTAAAATCTGTTCATGTGCCATTAATGCAGAAATGCTGTCACTCAAGATGATTTAGTGCTGACACTGCTCCTTTAGACTTGCAGAAAGCATAATCAATCTGCACAATGGTGCAGAGCCTGCAAGTTAGGGTATAGCCAGTCCAGGTCTAATAGAGTGACTTATGCCAAATGTATGGCAGATCAATCAAATTCCTAATGGGGATTTTTTTTGAAATATTTATACATAGAAAAAAGCCCTGCGTGAGAAATGGCTCTGGGATGGATTAAGCACTCTCTCCGCAAAAGAACAAGAAGAAATGCAAAACCAGAACCGAGAGGATCAACGACGCATGAATGAGCTGGAACAAAATATCCTCAGGTACTACTCAAATCTTGATTTTACCCGTCTGCCATTAAAAGCTTTGTGTGTAGATCAAATTTTCTATTCTGAACAGGGAGATTAATGCCTCTAAGCTAGCTATTGGTATTCTGCTGTCTGAATAATTACAGATGAGTTGTAGGTTTTCTTGCTTTAAAAAAAACGCAATATTATTAGGATCAAGTTCTGAGTGTCTCCTAGCTGGCTGGGATTTCATCATGCTTTCTAATGGTAGAACGTAAAGCATTTGACATTTAAAATGTCAGCACTTGGAATGATCAGATGTTAACTTTATTAAAAAAATTCTGACATTCAGGTGACAGTGAGAACATCAAGGAAGCGACATTTCCTGAAGTGTTGCAACGTATTAGAGATCTTCTCTGTGACTATTTATGAAGGCCACTCTTTTAAAGAGCTTCTACGTTAGCGGAGTATGTAAACTTTTGAGGGTTGGATTCTAAGCTTCCTTCCACTCAGAGGCATTTCTGTTGATCCCCTTGCACACTGAATTGCACACTGTCCTCTTCAACCACCATTTTAAACGGCAAGTTCCATGTGCCTTAAGACCATTCTTTGGGTCTGAGGTTTCATAATCCACACAGGTCTCTCTGCAACTGTAGACACAGGCTTCCCACAGGGATTTGGAGGTTGGAATTGGCATCAAAATAACCCCCCTGCCATGTTACCAAGGAGTACATGGCAACACCTGCTTAAATCCCCTTACCCTGCATTCACATTAAAAACCACTCTCCAGAATCTTTCAAAGAGGCTTAACTAGTATTCCATAAGCACCAAACCCTATAAGAGGCAAGCAATGGTGGTTACAAAAATGTTCAAGAACAGGGCTACTTTCCACATTATAGAACAACAGGTGCATGTGTACCATTTCATGTATGTGTGTGAGGGATGTCTGGTCAATGCCAGCTCTTATGTTGTGCAAACACACTGATTGCACGTTTTCTGCACCTCCACCATATAATGCTGCTTCCTCCTGCCACATACATTATCTATTACACATAGGCCAGATATCACAGTATTGTCTTTTAACTGACCCTTGTAGGATTACCTAAAATGCAGATAGACCACTTAGTTTTACTTCCCTGCTGTTTTATTCCTTTCTTTTGATCTTTCATTACAGGCCTCCCCCAAATCATTGCCCCTTCTAGAAAGACTCTATTTTGATACATTTCCCAAAATGCATCCCAGCTTTTACAGGAACAGACATCAACAGGTCTCAGCAAAGGCCATCAGTATAAAATCAGGAAGGCTGCTAACCGAGAGGAATGCAAAGGGAGAGAGGTTCAGTCCTAGAGAGAGATCATCAAATGAGATGCTTGTAGCTGATGAAATGATACATTGGGGAATGTGAACAGCAAATGCATTTTACTCAGAATTGGCACTAAATGCCCAATGTTCTGTTAGACTTTAGCACTTTTACAATCAGTCTGAATGAACTACTGCAAAGTCAACAGTAGGCCCTGTGAATAATTTTGTTGTTGTTGTCAAAGAATAACTATTTAAAATCATCTATTTTTAAATTAATTTTGGCAGCCAGAAACTGATATTCATGCCCAAGTTAGAGAAAAGGGTTGAATTTGAAGAGAACACACTGCTGGAAGCAATAAGTTGTTCTTAATGTTAAGCTTTTAGATCGTGCAACTGTGATAGAAGGCGCTGTGAAAATATAAATGGAATTGCCTGACTCAGAGTGATATAAGTAGTTAGCAAACGGGTTCAAACCTTTAAGCAGCTGTGAAGCTGAATGGATGTCCTTGGGCCATTACGCCTCACTGTCTAACCCACCCCAAAGGGTTGTTCTGAGGATGAATTGAAGGATGCGAGAAGCATGAGGAAAATATGCAAAGGCATGGGGTGAGGGAAAGCTGTGTAAACTTGTGAAAGACAGCTCAGCATCATTTTGGGCACTTAAGGAGGAGAAAGTGGTGGGACGGGACTCATGTAGTGGTGGAATGGGACTTATGTTTAACAATTTCATTTTCATGATGCTACAGTTTTCTGCTGCCCTCGGATAAGTGGTGGTCAAAGACAACTTTAATTGCCTAGCACACATTTTGAAGATCACTCGTCTAACCAAATGGGGTTCGAATCAGACCCGTCATTGCAATCTGGACGATGAATCTGGTACCTCTTCTTCATTCTGTTCATTCCTGGCAGGACTGTTAAACATTCTGTCTTTGAATATTATACATTTGCAGACTTGAGAAAGAAATAGAGGACCTTGAGCAAGAAGAGCTGACAATCTCAGCTAAAGAAAAGGCCATACTAAAGAAGCTTAAATCAGTTGAAAGGACAGCGGAAGATATCATAAAGGTCAGAGTCTAATTTTCAAACCCTGCTATGGATGTCATTTATGTCACTTTGTAAAAATTATCTCTTGGAGAGAAGGTGGGGATTAGGCTAGGAATTGGGATAAGACCCCTACTTGGCACATACAGTGGAAATTAAAAGTGATTAAACCTCAATATAGTCAGGCCACTCAGACCCATATAAATAATATCTCGAGATCAAGGATATTATAACCCCTACTGATTCCACTCTAGAATGTTCCATATACTATATTTATACTTTGTACTTTGGCTGCTGTGAATTGCAATACTGTTTCAGCATGAAATACCGTAATCAACGTTGGCCATCACCTGTGTACATAGGCAGAGTATAACAAGCATACTTTAAAAAAAAAGACTTCTGTGTCCTCCCTCCCTTAACTAAGAAAAATATTCTCTACATTTTATTCTCCCTTTGGTGAAAGCCTGAACAAACATACACACTGAAATTCAAACAAGCCTGTAGGAACATTATGCAATTGCTGTAGTGGAGGACACTGGACTGTACTTACAGCTCCAAGCAGCCTCGTTGATTTTTCATAGGGAGACAAGAGATATGACAGGGCAAGGAAAACCACAGACAAAGAGCCCTCTCAAGAATGCTGTCTCATAGCCAACAAACCACAAGCAGTGCAACACTCATGGAACAGGACTTGCCTGCCTGCCCCCATTCACAGCAATGCACTGAGCTCCTGAAATCCTGCTCTTGGGGGATCAGACCCAGACTGACCTTCACAAACAGTATGGGGGTGCAGATGGGATGAGGGAACGTCAAAATTTCCCCAGTTCCTTCAGTTTCTATCAGCTTAGAATACAAGCCATTGTCTTCATACTCTGAAATTGCAAATCTTTTGAAATGCCATACATGAGTTCATGAAGTAGTCTTATACCTAGTCAAACCACTAGTCTGTCAAGGTCAGTATTGTCTGCTCTGACAAGCAATGGACCTAGGGTTACCAGCCTCCAGGCAGGGCTCCCAAGTACTTACCTTAATTCAGCAGGGGATGTATAGTTCTTTGCGGGACCATTCCCGTGGGGAAAACACAGGCGCTGCACTATTCCATCACCCAGACGTGACGTAGGCACGTAGCCGGTGATGCTCTAGCAATGGGGCTGGAAACATCGAGTTTCCAGTCCCATTACCAGAGCGCCGCCCAGCTACGTGCCTACGTCACGTCTGGGCGACGGAATAGTGCAGCGCCTGTGTTACAAGCAAGAATCTTCCGGCGGGGAAGCATGTGCCCCCTGCCAGTCCGTAGGTAGGTACTTGGGAACCCTACCTCCAGGTGGGGCCTAGACAGGCCCATAGCTACCGTGGGGCATCTCAGGGCCCAGCCCCCCGACTTACTGCCAAGGCCCCCCGACTTCCCATCCATCCCAGGCCCCCCGAATTCCAATTTTTTATTTTTGGTGCTCAATGGGGGGGTGCCCCCGACTTATTTAAAGGCCCCCAAATTTAAAAAATCCTGGCTATGGGCCTGGGCCTAGAGAACTCCCACTTTTAAAACTGACCTCCTGCTGACAGAGATCAGCTCCCCTGGAGAAAATGGCTGCTTTGAAGGGTGGGCTCTACGGCATTATACCAGGCTGAGGCCCCTCACCTCACCTCACCCTCTCCTGGATCCACCCCCAAAGTCTCCAGGTATTTTCCAACACAAACCAGGCATCCCTAAGTGGATCTCCAGGGGCACAGATAGAGATCTTTCAAATATCACCTGAGCCTTTTTCAACTGGAGATCCAGGGATCAAACCTGAGGCCTTCTGCATGCAAAGCCGATACAGCCACAGCAGCACACCTTAATATGTGCGACATAACAGAAGGTTAAATAATCAAATAGAAAGGGAAAGGTAGACAGGGAGGGGAGACTGTGTCTGTTCTCTTTGCCATCACCTATTCTGTAACAATTATCTAGAGCAGTGGTGGCATTTTGTACAGGTTAGTCACACAGGAATCTAATGTAGGGTCACCAGCCTCCAGGTGGGGCCTGAAGATCTCCCGCTTTTACAACTGATCTCCAGCTGGCACAGATCAGCTCCCATTAAGAAAATGGCTGCTTTGAAAGATGGACTCTATGGCACTGGACCGTGCTGAGGCCCCTCCCCTCCCCAAGCCCCACCCTCTCCTGGATCCACCCCTCAAAGTCACCAGGTATTTTCCAACCCAGACCTGGCAACCCTAATCTGTGGGTTTGCCCTGAGGTGCTTTTATTGGACCATTGACTTCAGCCCAAGGATTTGCTGTTATTGTCCTGCTTAATGGGCAGACAATCAATATGTAGCTCTAACTCCTTTCCTCCTCCCAGTGTCCCTCAGTCTCCCAGTCAGAACAACATCTAGGTTGACAATCTGGCTGGAGAGCAGAATGAAATTATCACCCAGCCAATAGCAGCAAGGAATTCTCACTGACTCACACTCAAGTTCCTGAACAGCAGTGTTGCCAGCTTCTTTTTAGATCCCACTAAGCTGAAATCCAAGCACCTACACACACGCACGCACACAAAGCACCCTATAAAAATGGGAGCATTAAGGTTGCCAGGTCCCCCTAGATCCATTTTGGGAAACTCCTGGAAATTTGGGGATGGATCCCGGGGAGATCAAACTGATCTCTGTAGTCTGGAGATGGGGTGTAATTCCAGGGGATCCCAGTGTCCCACCTGGAGGCTGGCATCCCTAAATTTGCAGAAGGAGTACTTCACTCCAATAAGATTTTTCAGTATTTCCGTATTTGAGACATAATATCTTAACACACTGGCACTAATTCATTACATTCAAATAACCGATGACTAAAACTGAGCCTGACCATGACCTGGATAGCTCAAGCTAGCCTGATCTCATCAGATCCTGGAAGCAAAGCAGGCCGATCAGCCCTGGTTAGTGCTTGGAAGGGAGACCACCAAGAAAGTCCAAGGTTGTTTCACAGAGGCAGACAATGGCAAACCACCTCTGTTCACCTCTTGCCTTGCCTTGCCTTGAAAACCCTATGGCTGTGACTTGACAACACTTTAAACGCATGGAGCTGATCCCGAACATTGTACAACTAAAAGGTTTCATAGTGACTGCTCCACAATTAAATGACTATTTATGAGAAGACTTTCCTCCAGAGATTCAGCCTGAGTCGAAGCATCTTTCCAAAATGGTACAAACTGTAGATGGGTTGGCCTGCAACGATGGGAAAAGAGAATTGTATTCAAAATCTTGGTATTAGCATTCTATACTTTAGATATGGCACTTGCTTGAATATATTTTGGCCCAAGCATTTTAAAGCTTATCACACTTACTTGGAAGTCAACGCCAATGAATACAGTGGGATTTATTTCTAAGTAACAGGACAAAGCATTGAGCTCCATGGCTATCAATTATTATATGCCCAGCATTGAAAAGATAACAGTGGTCTGTTTTCTATATCAGTTTCGTATAACTAAATGTCTCCTTTTTTCCTGTTTCTTACTAGTCTGTGAAGGTGGAAAAAGTAGAGGCTAGAGAAGGTATGTTTGGCCAAAACATAAAATTTTAAAGTGTATGAACATCTCCAGAGGACAAAGGTACGAATTAATAACTCTCTCTTTTCACAGAATCAGCTGACTTTATATATGCCAACATACCTGACCTCCCAAAATCTTTCAGACCTTCTGCACTTAAAAGAACAGGACATCTGAAAACAGAGAATGATGAAGAAAGTCGAAAAGGTACAGTTCTACGATGAAATTTAAAAGATATCTACACTTGTAAAGTACGATGAATAAATGAGGGTGTGTGGTCTGGCAAATGAGTTGAGTGTTTAATGAGAATATTCACCTCGTCTTGTCCACCCAGGAGCCAGTCCACCCAGGAGTACTTCTCTCAAAGCCAGTTGCCCTGATCCACCTAGGTAGGCACATTGGCCAAGAAAATAAATAGCTGGATAAGCAAGACTCGAGTCCAGAAGCACCTTAAAGACAAACAAGCTTTCCAGGAGACAAGCTTTCAAGCGCCAAAGCTCCTTTCCTCAGATACTCTCGAAAAGCTTATACCCTGGAACTCTGGTTAGTCTTTAAGGTGCCACTGGACTCAGATCTTGCTACTGCTGACCAGCGTGGCTATGCACCTGAAAACAGCTGGATGAGGAGCCACAACTAGGTGCCATGCATTTGGCTGCTGCCCTGATCCAGCTGCCAGAGCTGTCTTCAAAGAAGGGTGGGGGAAAGGGTGATCAGCTGTTCAGTATCAGCAGCAGGAAGTGGGTTCAGATTTTCCCATTCCATGCTAAACAGATGGTTGGTGTAACTGCAGACTTTCTAATACAGTTGTGTGCACATGGCCGTAGGAGCTGTGCAAACGGGTACCTTCTAACAAGATGCTCAGGGGTACACCTTTCCTGTCCATTTTCTCAAGACAATTATGAATGTGTATCCATGCTTAAACTCTGTGCACAGGGTATTAGCTACACGTGACTGAATTAGGGCTGATGATTACACAAACCCACACTGCGTCATGGCATGGAAGGAAGAGGGACGGATAAATCACAGAGCCTTGGCTAGGTTAAATGAGAAAAAAGTGGTCTTTGTGGAACTGGATCCACTGGATTCTACGTCCACTGCTGTGTTCCTGCCACTGAGAATTATGAAGTGAGTCACAGATGGCTTCTAACACGGTGCTTTTCCTGTCAATTTTCTGAAGATGTATGCGAATGAGTATCCGTATCTACAGTCTGTACATGGAGTCTTAGCTATATATAATGACTTTTGCATGAGCAGCTTTGGTCTGGAACCTGTGCTTACATTATCGTAAAGAACTTTAAGAATTTCTTTTCATTGCACAGCTCAGTACCTCCATTCCAGGGACTACACCCATAAGCACCTCTTACAAAGTAGATTATTCATCTGATGATCACCACTTTTTGGCATCCAAGATTTGAAGCTACTTAGATTCTATCATCTTTGCAAGTCAGATCAAAATGAAGAAAGAGAAGCATAGGGAAGGACTGAAATAAACAAACACTTTAAAATACCCAAATGTGAAGAAGAGAGAAGAGAATGGATTTATACCCCGTCCTTCACTCGGAGTTTCAGAGCAGCTTACAAACTCCTTTCCCTTCCCACAACAGTACCCCTGTGAGGTACGTTGGGCTGAGAGAGCTCTTTCCAGAACTGTCCTTGAGAGAACAGCTCTGACAGAGTCACAGAACTATAGCTTGCCCAAGGTCATTCAGCAGCTGTATGTGGAGGAGTGGGGAATCAAACCCGATTCTCCCAGATTAGAGTCCGTGCACTTAACCACTACACCAAACTGGCTCTTGGAAACTTGAGTGGGTTTGTGGAAACCTGAACTCAGCAAACAGATTTCAGTGAGAGCCAAGCTCCAATTTGAATGGCATTTCCTCAACTATTCCTAGTTTTCTTACCCTTTGCAAGAATACCGAAGAATCTGAGACCCAGTTAATGCCATTTGTCACCTTTGTTATATGGTGATGAATCAGGTCCCCTGGCCCGAGTTGCCGCATGACGGAGTGAGCTCCCATCTCTAGTTCCAGCTCCTGCCAACCTAGCAGTTCGAAAGCAAGAAATTGCAAGTAGATAAATAGGTACCACTTCGGTGGGAAGGTAACAGCGTTCCGTGCGCCTTGGTGTTTAGTCATACTGGCCACATGACCATGGAAACGTCTTCGGACAGCGCTGGCTCTTTGGCTTTGAAACGGAGATGAGCACCGCAACCCTTGAGTCGTACTCGACTGGCTTTCGAGCAAGGGAACCTTTACCTTTACCCAGGGGTCATTTCGTAGAAAAAGAGATAGGGGAACTCATTAGCATAACTCATTAGCATATGCCACACCCCCTGACATCAGGGGCCCGGCGGTGGACCTGCAAGGCCAGCGGGAGTGCGAGGAAGCCCCGCCAAGGCCCTCCCTGGCCCCAGGCAGGCAGGGGTGGGGAGAGGCAGGGAGGAAGCAACTTACCCTCCCTCTTCTCCTGCCTCCTCCTGGCTGAATGAGGGCTGGAAGCGGGGTGGCTGGAAGCAGGGGGCGGGGCTTCGTCATGTGCCCCGCCCCCTGCACCTCACCCGGGGGAACTGCGTTCCCCCGCGTTCCCCCCCGAAATGACCTCTGCCTTTACCTACCTCTAACCACCACTCCTTACCTCAGCCTTGTAAACAGTCACTTTGCAACTTACCTAAGGCAAGTAAAGACGAACCCAGGCAATGAGAGGCAGGGAGGTGTTTGTAAATGGTGTTTCTTCCCCCACCCTCAAAAAAACCCCAACCACATGCACACACACTTTTTCAGATATTCCAGCAGACTCTTCTGGCCTTTTAAAGCTGGGGAAATGGTAAGCCAGCACTACAGCAGCTATACACACATACTTTTAGCCAGCTCCTGGCTTTAAAAGCGGGAGACACAGCTGCTGTTGCATGGCAAGGGGACTGTCCCAGCAGAGCAGCACACTCAAGGCCATCAAATGTCTCCCTCTCTGGGCTCTAAGGGGCTGGGGAAAGGCAGCGGGCGGAGCAAGGGGATGGCAGACCTGTGAACAGGAAAGGCTCCCTTGTTTCCACCCTGATTCTTACTCTGCTAGAGGTTTCTAGTGGCACCTGAGTACCAATTTGCTTCTACATCATGAAAGATGGTTAGAACAATATATCAAATGTAGAATCCTAAGGAAATTAAAGACTTACTACAATGATACTGCTAGAGTGCAGATTGTGCCCAATTCATATGGAGAAGGGTGGACTGGCCATTTAACTTACAGGGAAAGTTCCTAGTGGACTACTCCCCTGGAGGGCCACTGGCAGCAGCCTGGAGCAAACAGACCCAAGCCCCTGTAGCTCTGTTTAGCTCTGCATGGGCCACTCAGCCTGGCTTACACCAGGGCCATTTTGACTTCCCAGGCCACACCTGCATATGGAGCTGAATGGGGTAATTTCACCCGGAGAACAGGCAGCTGGGATCTGTGTTGAAGCTTTCCCCTTATGCACCTGCACTTCCAATTTAAAAATAGTGAAAAGTAGGAGGCAAATGGAAGGTTCAACCTGTACCCTTCCCACAACCATTTCAAATCATACAAATATATGAATCCCTCAGCAGGGGTGCATGGGCTGTCCTGGAGGACTGCTGGCAGTCAGAAGCAAGCCAGCAGGATCAAAGGGCTTCTCAGGTGGGACACAGCCAGCAGCAGTGTGCATAGTCTTGCCTCTCACATCCTCCCGCAATCCTGCCAACTGAATCTCAGCTGAGCATTCCAGAGACAGTAGCAGTCCCTTCAGGTGTTGCTCAGCTCAGTTTGTTCCTGGACCACTAATGTTAGAGTCTACCACTGGTGACCTATGTTCTACCACGAAGGTAGAGAGTTACGTGCTGTCACATGTAACTAGCTCCTAAGACCAACACATATCTTAAGCTGTTTCATTACTCATTTTTAAGGGCTCTGTTTCTTCCAACAGAAATGTTTGCAATGGAAATTAAAGTCGAAAAAGACATGAAGACAGGGGAAAGCACAGTTTTGTCTACAATTCCTCTTCCTTCAGAAGAATTCAAAGGTGCAGGAGTGAAAGTGTACGATGATGGCAGGAAGTCAGTCTATGCCGTGTGCACCAATGGAGGCATAACAAACAATGAAGTAGATGATCTTGCACCTGTTGAAGTGGAGGACCTCTTAAGGCAAGCCACTGAAAAACAATCCAAGTCTCCCACCGAATATCATGAACCTGTGTATGCAAACCAGTTTTGCAGACCAACAACTCCCCAGCAGGAGAAGTTAACTCAGGGACCAAATGGTGAAGATGCTAGTCAAAATAAGATTCATAGACTTGACCATTGTAGTGAACCCTTCTATAATAAAGCCAAAGGGCAAACACTGGAAGACAACAATCTTTCAAAGAGCAGCCAAGAGAATTCTCATTCTCCAATCCCTCAACAAACAGAAAGAATTGTACAAATTAGCCCCCCAAACAAGATGGTGCCTAATGTCCCAAGAGAAGTTATACAAGATGCTTTCAAACCAGTTCAGAAAACAAGAGAGAATCAACATGATTTAACATTCAGAAATTCCACAAACACTAATGAAAGGTCTTCCCCTGCAATGCAAAGTAATGAAGATTCTAGCTACACAGTGGTCCACGCAATGCCATGTTATGTGGATGATAGTGAACCTGTTACAATGATTTTCATGGGTTACCAGCATGTGGAGGATGAAGAAGTGAATAAAACTGTCTGTGGATACAATGGGCTTATCCATGCAGAACTTGTGGTCATAGATGATGATGGGGAAGAAGAGGACAGTAAACCTGAGAAGCCTTTGTATCACCCAGTGGGCCCTTCCAGCCAAGTGTATCAACCACCCAACCAAACAGCTACAATTCCACAGAGGAACCCCAGCAAAACTGTCAGTGACAACGTGAACAGATCACCTCACAAAAATTCTATATCGCTCAAGGAACAAGACGAAAGTTTGAGCGGTTCTACCTACAGTGCTGAACTGGATGGCCAGTTACCAGGTGATGGAACCGAAGATCCTTCCTTAACAGGTAAAAAACCAGGAAAGTCACATCGCTGCTGTACTGTCACTTAAAAGACATGATTACTTCTATCACACTCTCTTCTTTCCTATTAACAATCCTGTTGCTTTCCCTCTGTCAGACTAATATGTAATTTCTGGTCAAACTCTTCCTTGCTTTTTATGTCATAAAGCTTTTAGTTAACCTCTAATGCCAGAGACTTTTCAAGTATGTAAGGACACAAACCTCAATCTGGATCTTCCTGCTTCTGGCATATTTGAAAACACTGATTAAAATATTACATCTTTGTTTCTCTGGCATGAGAAAAATTGACTCCAGTTGCATTTTGGAGGTAAATAATAGCTTTACTGCCCCTTATATGTATCTCCTTTTTCGGAGTTTGTGCCTCTCTTTGCTCTCTTGACTTTGTATTATGTAATGTACCTTGCACCTTAATCTTGAAAAGACTGAACAAGTTTGCTCTGCATTGATCTTGACTTCATGTTGTGTCCATGTCAACTGAAATGTCTGTAAGCAAGTTTGATTTTTTTTTTTTAAAGCCTGGTTTGGGTGTTTTAAAATTTTATATGACTATGACTGAAATCGAATTCTTTTGTCTATCCACTAATCTCAGGCCTTCCATCCATTTACCTTGAATTAAAATGTCTTTCATTTTCTTATCTGTTTTGCATGATTTTTACATTCTGCTTCTCACAGCAAATGTCATATTTTTTAAAGTACTTTTGAGGGCACTCTGGAGAACAATACCTTCATTCCAAATGGCTCGATATATTTATGTTGTATCGTAGTGCAGTCTCTTTGTTGGATAAGCCAGTAGAAACAAATCACAATTGTTGGTTAATTGCTGGACTTGGTCACTCCTTCCTGCCTCAACTCACACAGCATATCAAGAATGAAGCCTTTAGCTAAGTTGACTTCTGACAACAAATGAGTTGCTTTTTCCCTAGTGAATAGGATTCTTAACTGAGTTTTCATCCTGATTAAGAATCCAAGTTATAGAAACAAATCTAAGGCTGCGGTCACACATACAAAATAATCCACTTTCAACCCACTTTCAATGCACTTTCCAATTGGATTTTACTGTGTGAACTGGCAAAATCCAATTTGAAAGTGCATTCAAAGTCGACTATTTAGTGTGTGTGACCTCAGCCTTAGTTTCTTAAAATGCCCACATCCAGCAACATCACTGCAAGCCAGAGTAGAACTGAGGACCTCAGTCCCAAGGCACCCTACAAAAGGCTAATGCCTAGCTTCAGTTCATTTGACATCTCAAATCAAAACTGAGTACCCTTGGGAAAACGGAGTGCCAAAGGCTGAATCACCTGCACTTTCACACTCACTGAATAATGCACATTCAATCCACTTTCAGTATGCCTTTCAACTGGATTTTACTGTGTGAAACCACAAATCCACTTGCAAATGATTGGTAAAGTGGATTTAAAGTGCATTATTCAGTGTGTGTAAAAGTTTAGAGCTGTGGTAGGGGAAGCCAGCATGGTGCAGTGGTTAAGTGTCAGCCTCTAATCTGGAGAACCGGGTTTGATTCGCCACTCCTCCACATGAAGCCAGCTGGGTGACCTTGAGCCAGTCACAGTTCTCTCAGAACTCTCTCAGCCCCACCTACCTCACAATGGGCCCATTGTGGGAGGAGGAGGGAAAGGCAATTGTAAGCCACTTTGAGACTCCTTAGGGTAGAGAAAAATGGGGTATATAAAAAAGGAAGATGCACAGAAGGCAGCTGGGATCTCTGCTCCCAGAAACTAATAGGAGAGCAAAGCAGCTAAGCACTTTCTTGAGGTGAAGTGACTTATGGTGTTTCAGAGAAAGAAAGAGGACTATGCTAGGATTAGCACTTCTTGTATGCCATGTGCCTGTACAAAAGTTTTGATCAGGGCTCTTTTTGTAGAAAAAGCCCAGCAGGAACTCATTAGCATAATAGGCCACACCCAACAGCAGGAACTCATTAGCATATTGGGCCACACCCCTGACAGCACAGCTCATTAGCACATTAGGCCGCACCCCCATGTTACCAGAAGTGTGCTCATCCAGCCACACCCACCTTTTGCTTGTTATTCTGTTTACCTTGTTTGTTGTCAAAACCCAGGGCTTTTTTGTAGCAGAAACTCGTTTGCATGTTAGGCCACACACCCCTAATGTAGCCAATCCTAATGAGTTTCTGCTGTTGGGTGTGGCCTGTTATGCTAATGAGTTCCTGCTGGACGTGGCCAACTTGGGAGCCAGCCAGAACTCCGTTCCTGTGCGTTCCTGTCCAAAAATAGCCCTGGTTTTGATGAAAGCCTACCCATGGCTGCTGATGCTATTTTACAAACAAATCCAGCCATTTGAAAAAAATGCTGGGGGGAAGCTGTTTTGATACTTGAAAATGAGGGGGGGTCTCCTGTTCCTTAAGCACCATGGGCCAGATCAGATCCTCACTGAATTTGTCTGAATGGCTGAATTTGTCTCTTAAATAGCAACAGGCTGCCATAATATCCAGTTTGGCCCTGAGATGATGACTGGCCTAAGATCACCCAGCAAGCTTCCATAGCAGAGGAGGGATTTGAACCTAGATCTACACCACAGTGGAGGAGAGAATGATGCATGACACCCTGAACTCCCTGGAGGAAGGGCAGGATAAAAGTCTACTAAATAAGATTTAAATTCTTGCCTTGGCACATTCCTAGCATCTGTTTATAATGAGAAAGTTTAATCCTGGAACACTGAAAGCAACTCTAAGGAAAGTGTGCTTGGGAAAACATAGAGCACATTTCCTTTATTTATTATCCACAAATAGCCATAGCAGATCAGAAAGTGACCTTCTAAAATGGGGGGAGGGTATTTCCAGTCAGAATTGATCCTCTGTTATTCTAGATCAACATTATATATTGCACTATTCCTGGCTGACAAGTATGTATCTTATGCCCTGCACCCACACACACACAGCCTCTCCCTTGCATTGTTAACTACGTTTCACTGCTTAATAATCAGAGAATGCTAGGAAATGAGTAATTTTCCCAAACAGTCTCATAATGATCATGCTAGCTGTAAAAAGGAAATAAAGTCAGGAAGATTTGTCACAGTCAAGTTTACAACACCAACACAGTGCTAGGAGGTTAGATCCGTTTTCGTTGACCCCTTGAAAATCTCATCATTTTAAATCACCAAAAGCAGTACCATGGAGCACATACAAGTGAATGAAGCCTTCCTGGGTACTACTTACAAGTTTGCACTAGAGAGAAGAAAGTCTAAAGACTTAAGGGGGGGGGGAGTCAATGATATTATGTAAGGGCAGAACAGGCCAGACTCTGTACAGGAGCATATTTACAGCACAGTTCAGCAATATAGTTAATGCTCCATTTATTTACAAATTTTCATCATAAGAGGCAATATGATGTAGTGGATTTGGGTGGGGGACTTTAATATTCTGGCTGCAGTCCTATGCACACTTACTTGAGAGTAAGCTCCATTAAAATCTATGGGGCTTACTTCCACAGACAGGGCTGTACTGCCTGCCAACAACCCGAGGGCTGTAGCATCATAGATTTTTTTTTATCCTCATACCCCCCAAAATCATTCAAAATGTAGCACCCATTCTTTTGATACCTGTATGTTTTCTGAGTGTACAATTTCAACAAATTAATCATTTTTGCATTTTTTAATGCTTCTACAAGAATGTTTTGTCTCTGGGGCTTAGTCATTGAAGGTAAGTTTTATTTTTCTCTCTGCAACATTAGACATAGAAACAGAAGTGGAACTATGCTTGGGATATTAATTGTCCTGTTTACTGCTTCTTTCTGCAGCACTAAGACTGAGAATGGCAAAGCTCGGGAAAAAAGTCATCTAACATCCACGGCAGTTTCTTACTAAATGTCTGGGTGTGAGCAACAGAATGCAGTAGAAGAAACCAAGAAGAATTTTCTGCCCTCTTTGGACCTCAAAGCTTTTGCTTGTACAAACATATATACATAGGAGTAGCAGCACTTTAGGGACAATGAACCACCAGTGAGAAACAGCAGCATTTGCCCTCTGGTAACTTGGCTTTGTCCATATAAACAAATTGTAAACATTTTATAGTTTTCTAGTCCATTTAAGAAATCCTGATAGCTTTCTTTTTTAAAATTTAAGTCTCTCAGTGTTATTGTATGACAAGTCAGTTTGTAAGAGCCATTGTCTTTGACAGGACTACAGCCAAACAGCGGAAAGTTATTAAATGAAAGTACTTGTGTGTCAGGGACAGCGTGGAACACTGCTAAAAGACCAACCAAACCACAGCAAGGGTATGTCAACAAGACTTGCATGTTCTTAACAGGCCAATCTGGAGCAGGGCCCGGGAGGTGATAACTCTCCTAAAGCCAGTGACCTAGCCTGGAATCAGGAACTCTGCTCAAGTATGGCAAGGTCAAGGACCAATTCACTGTGGATGAAAATCGACTCTGGTCATCACTTCTCTATCCTTTAAGGTTGATGACTTATACTCCTTTGGCTCTTTGTTTTCTTCTGTGATCCAAAAGGGTGTACAGCTGATCAAGTCACCGGAGGAAACCAAAACCAGTGTTAAACCATTGAGAAGGTTTAGTATTATATTTTCCCTAATTTTAACTGTTTCAATCTATTCCAAATATAATATTCTTGAAATTTCAGCTGCCCATCCTGATTTTTGTTCTTTATTTCTCTTAAGCATCACACATGAAATAAATAATACATTTATTAACCTCACTATAGACAAGGGTACCTTCCTTTTATTTCCTAAATTTCTCTTTTGTCCTACTGTACTTTTTTGAGTTCCACTGACTGAAGGATTTTGATGTTTCCTCATTACTTCCTCTCTTTTTAAAGATATTGGAATCAATAATTCCATGAGCCCCATCAATACTATCACTGGCTCTGCGATTCTGAACTTTAACCACTGTGTTTATTTGAATATCATCTTCTTCAGTGTGTGTCTTCATGTTGTTGTTGTTTTTGCATCTTCCCATCTGTTTCTGTATTAATTGGTCTCCATACTTCTCCAGGATTGCCACACCCTTCCTGGGGTTCCAGACAAGATACTACTGTTACCCAGTCTTGAACTCTTAAGTAGAGCCACTTTAAAACTCTTGCTATTGCTGACCATTCCCTTTTAACCACCCAGCACTGGGAAACAGCATGCTGTACCGTCTCCATGATCAAGTCTCCTGACACTCCTGGTACTTGCACATTCTGACAATGGAGTCCTTGACATCATTTTTCACTTTCCAGAAGCCAAGGGTGTTGATGTTAAGCTCTCCATCGCAATCCCACGGACGGGAACCATTCTATCCTCAAAAGTGGATAGAGGAAACCGTTAATCTCTCAAGTATGGTGACAAAGTCATTTTTCTTCTGTCCTCCCTCAATCATAACTATCCAGAAAGTTTTCTTTTAATAGTTCCTAATAAAGTGCCGTACCTGCTTTTACTTGAGATTCAGTCCCCTGTTTTAATGTATCTTTGAATTTTTCCACTTTTATTAGGGCTGGGTATTTTAGGGTTTGGTTAGGGTTAGGGCTATGTTTTGGTTAGGGTTAGTTTTAGATTAGGGTTGGGATTAGGGCTTGGTTTGGGTTATGTTTGGATTAGGTTAGGGTTTGTTTGGGGTTAGGGTTAGGTTAGGTTAGGGTTAGGTTAGCGTTAAGGTTAAGTTAGAGTCAGGGTTTGGTTTGTGTTAGAGATAGATTTGATTAGGGTTTTGTTAGGGCTAGGTTAGATTAGGGTTAGGGTTAGATTAGGGATAGGTTAGGGGTAAATTAGGTTGTAGTTAGGGTTAGGTTAGGTAATAATGAGTTTTTAGGTAATAATGAGTTTTATTATAAATAACCTTTCAACATATAAAACCATAGAAAAAATTCCAAGGTACAACTTGAAAACAAATTTTAAATAATTAATAAACAATCAATAACCAGTTGAACTCTAAATCTACAATCTACAATCTACTGTCATCTGTAAGCATGTTGTTGTTCAGTTGCACAGTCGAGTTCGACTCTTTGCGACCCCATGGACCAGCTCCCGCCAGGCCTTCCGGTCTTCCGCCGTCCTCTGAAGTTTGCTCAACTTCATGTTTGTTGCATCGATGACACTGTCTAACCATCTCATCCTTTGCCGTCCCCGTCTTCTTTGACCTTCAATCTTTCCCAGCATCAGGGCCTTCTCCAGTGAGTGCTCCCTTCTCATTTGGTGGCCAAAGTATTTGAGCTTCAGTTTCATTATCTGGCCTTCCAGGGAGCAGTCAGGGTTGATTTCTTTGAGGATTGACTGATTTGTTGTTCTTGCAGTCCAAGGGACTCTCAAGAGTCTCCTCCAGCACCATAGTTAAAAAGAATCTATTCTTCGGCGCTCGGCCTTATAGTAAGCATGTACTAACATATATAACTAGAAATAACCATTTAAAAAGATGTATGTATTTTAAAGACTTGAAAACATTTTTTAAATTTTAAATTTTTTTCAAACAATTTAAAACATTTTAGACATTTTTTACAGATTCACTAAATTAAAGGATTTTTTAGCATAATTAAAATATTTAATGTATTTAACATCTTTTAACATTTACAGATACAAATGAGAATACCCAAAGAATTGTATCAAGTAATATAGAAACATTTACACCAAATAATATCTTATCATTGTGTCCGGCTCCACACTCACCTTCTGGCGTGGGCTTTGAGGGAGAAGCCTCAGCAGCAGAGAAGATCTCAATGACACCAGTGACACCTCAAGATGAGTGGGCACAGCTCCCACCTGCCCACGACTGGTCCCCACCCATCTCTGCTCACTCCATGCTGCTGCAACCCATGAGATGGAGGCGGATCACCTCCTGGGACCCAACAAGGCCAGCCCTAGTGGATGAAGCAGTCTGAGCCAATGGGCCCCCCAAGGAGGCAAGCAGACCCATGGGAGATTGGGGAACCACCAAAGGACTGAGCCAGGCCCTGAGTCCAAGGGAAGTGGGCAAAGACAGAGGGGGAGGCCAGCCTAACAGCCCCACCCACAGAGGCACAAGCCATGGGGTCAGAGACAGGGTGGCAGCTGAGCCACCCATCACCCACTCCCTTGCAGACCATGCCCTGGGTGAGGCCCAGAGAGATGGGTTGGGGAGGGAGAGAAGACAAGACCTGGCCTGGGCCAATGAGAAGATGGGGAAGGAGAAGGACAAGAGTAGAAACCACTCAGGAGAGGGCAGGAGGGAGGGGGATGGATGCTCAGGGCTACAAGAGGATCCACAGAGGTTGAGACCAAGGAGGAGGAAAGACTGGAGATGGAGAGAGAGAGTATACATCCACACCAGCGACAGGCATCGGTGGGGTGAAGTAACCCCCCCCCCAGCCTGTCTTTTGAGGTTCTGACAGGCCCTCCTAGCTCTCCTCAACACAACTGACAGCAGAGGCTTGAGGGTTGCGGACCCTCAGCCTCACACATTACTACCATTACATAGTAGTTAAGAAGTCCTGCCCCAATTACAATCATCATAAATCCTATGCTTTCACAAACATCCAGTTTGATAAGTCTCCATCCTCTCCCTTGTTTTCCCTTAAATCTGTCTTTAATTCTGTTTACCCTGTACCTTACAAAAAATAAAGGCAATCATCAAGCCATGGAACAGGACAATTAACTTTGTCAAACCATTGCCGGCATGTCCCCCTGGTTTCCTTCACATTTGGCTGAGGCAGCGGGCATCTACGCAGCTGGCCTCCCTACTGCTGCTGCTTCATGAGACCATCATGGCTCGGCATTGGCTTACTCGTTTTTTAGGTGTAATAACTGGAATTAATTGTATTGCACTGCCCACTTTAAATATTTTAAATACTTTAAATTTTAAACTGGTTTTCTTGTGTTATTTATTTTATTAATTTAGATGGTTTGTATTTACTGTCGTGAGCCCCCCTGAGCCCATTCACAGGAAGGGCGGGATATAAATTGAAATAATAAATAAATAAGTTCTTTCCTTCCCAGACCCTTACATAATTCAAAGATTGTAAAAAAAAAAAATCGAACAGTTTCTTTATATGATATTGGTTTCTTTGAACAAGATTCCACACTTCTATTTTTCATTATAATTTGTACCATGAACAAATTGATTAATTGAACTATAGACCACAGCACCTTAAAAGACAGAACTTTGCTAAGCTTAAGAATGAAGGATCCGGCACACTTTCCAAACCGCCTCTGTCTGGTTATTCATACCCACCCTGTGGTTCCAAACCTGAAACAATTGTCTCACATTCTTGGAAAAGCAAGGAAGGCCATTTCAAAACATGCACAACTTGGGCCCATTCCTTCTTCAACACTACGCACACAGAAACAGCATATGCAATTGACTCAGGGGATGCAGATTCTCTGTAACTCCATCTGTGGTCCCTTCAATAAGTGCAATGATGCCCCACACTCTACCCTGGGGCATGATAATTTATCATGTGAAAGATCAAATCTCCTACTACCCACATTTAAAACCTGATGAAAAGCCCTCCATCTCAGATCTCTTAAAAAGAAAGGTATCAGCCCATCAGTAACCATAAGAATAGGAAAAGACTGGTCATGAAGATATAGATAAACTTAATTTCTGCTTCCTACCGTAATAATATGGTTGAAGGTGGGTGGGAAGGTACCAGCTGGATATTAGGAAAAACTTTTTCACAGTAAGAGTTGTGCTACAGTGGAATCAGCTGCCTAGGGAGGGGGTGAGCTCCCCCTCACTGGCAGTCTTTAAGAAGCATCTGGATAAACACTTGTCAGGGATGCTCTCGGCTGATCCTGCATTGAGCAGGGGGTTGGACTAGATGGCCTGTATGGCCCCTTCCAACTCTGTGATTCTATGGTCCTATGAGTCTAAGATGGCTTCTATCCAATATCTTCCAATAAATTCTCCGTTTGTCCTTTTTTATCCTCACATTGCTGTTTTATTAATGCAGCATCCACTCCATATCTTTTTATAGCTTTGAATGCTACTAACAAAACCTCAGGCCAAGCGTGAGTGACTCCTGGTGTTAAACGTGGAAGTGAGTTGTATTTATTCTACCACTCATGCCCTATGGAAGTATGTAACCAGTCATAAGCAAAGGAAGGCCATATCTCATCATTCTGTATTTTCATTTCATCTACCGATCCTTTTTGGATAGTACTCTTCACATTCTGCCATTTCCCCCAATTTGCACATAAAAAATAGAAAAAACCATAAACCAATTTCTAACAAACCTAAACCCCCACATTTTTGTCTCTGATACGATACTACTGGGGCAAGAGGGAACATAATTCTACCAAAAAGCCATTGGAAGATCCTCATTATAATATCTGCCACAATATTTTCCAGCAGGGGAAAAATGCATTATAAAATATTGTTCTTTTTGACTAGTGGATAGCTTCCAATTCTTCCGTTTGCTAAGGTTGTATCGTCTTTTGATGCCAATTACACCAATCGTGTCTCCATCCATCTTCAATCAAATCAAAATAAATGCCTAAGATATTGATTTTAATTTTTCCTTCTTCTATATCTTGTGTATATAAGGATATATGTTGTTTGCTTACTTCATGTTTTCCTCCCTTTCCTTCCTGCCTTTCTGATACTACCAAAGGTCTCATGGATATTGGTCCCATTGTCCCTTCCAAATTAAAACATTTACTTTTTTCAAATTAATATTTGCCCCTGAAATTCTCTGATACACCACCAGATGTTTTCCTGTTCTCAACAATTCATGTTTCCCA